TTGTTGTGAGATGAATATCACAGTAACATAGTGTTTGACTTTTGACATGCTCCCATGTTAAGAGAAAGAAGTGATTTCTTGAAATTCTGTCATAGATTAAGGTTGCATAATAGGGTGTCCAATTTTACAACAAAATAGGAAGCACTGTCCATCCCTGAAGCAGCCATTCTTTCCCTCCTACATCTAAGAAAGATCAGGACATTATAGACCAAACTTTGGCAAGTATCCAATAACAATTTCCTGAACTAATTGATCAACGATGAAGGAATAACTAACTATTTCACCTTAAATCCTCCATACAGCATGATGTATAACTTTTCAGAGCTTAGAATGGTTTCTTGAAGAAATCATTATTTGTATTCACCTATCAACAAAAAATAAGTTTCATTGAAACTTCCATTCAATTTCTAACTTCCATTTAACTACATTCCATACGAACTTTACAAGAGTGAACTCAAATCAAGAGGCCAGCACTATTATCAATTCAAGTGGAGGTACAGTATCTGAAAATTTTTATGTAAGGTCTGAAATCTCACTTTGCAATAAGTTACAATTTCAACATCAAACTCTCGGGTTGAAACACATACTGTAGAATATTTCTCATTCAGACAGATGATAGAGAGCCAAGGATTCTTTAAGATCGAAAATCATGTGCCTATTACACAAAGGTCCTCCCAAACTGCAAACATGGGCGTGTTTACACCATTACCTGACAAATAGGTTATTACAAAATGCCTATACAAGAAGAACAGTGTATTATTTACAGTTTGCTAATGATGAGATGCAGAGACCAAATTTAAAACATCAGATTGAAAATCAAAACACCTTATGAAGCATCAGACTTGGATAATTAAACATATTCACATAATGAATTGCAAAATAATTGCTTCCATAAATATAAACCAACAAGAACAAAATCCCAAACAAAAAATTGCTACTTCAAGATGACTGAAAATTTCACCCAGAACCAAACCAAGGAACAGAAACCCAGAAACAAAAAATCCAAATGAGGCCAATACCAGAATTTAAGAAACAACATATACACAGATTGTGAAAAGCAACATTCCACATTCAGATCAACAATACCAAGAACCCAACAAGAATCATAAAATTGATTTCAGCTACAATCCGCCACATGATTATGTCATCTTCCAAACACACCACCAATCAAGAAATTCCCACAAGTCCCAGTAACTATAACACACCCCTAGAACGATCTGACCACCAAACCATAATCAAATCAACAAAACCATAGAACCCAAGAGGAAATTACATCACCAGAAATGAAGAACTAAACATGCCCGGATAATAACTTTACTTCCAAACCACAATTAAGCCTATAAAAGGGATCAGAAACCAACCTCATGGAAGCTCCAGACAGGAGTAATCTCAGTGGTCCTCTTCTCTCTAGTGCACTCAATATCAACAGACACCTTAGGAACAAAAACCCCATCAGAGATTACAAGATCCTTAGTATTTTCTTCATCAAGATGAACCAAACGAGACCCAGGAGCACCCTTGCAGTACAAAAGTCTTATATCAGAAGTGACATCAAAACCTCTACCCAGTGCTTGGACCGAGTTACAAAGAGTGGTGGTCAAAGAATCTGAGCTCAAACTTTTCCTCAATTCTTCCATGGAGGAATGATCTTTCACTGATGAGAAAGAGAAGGAGGCATTATGTGGGTTTTATCATCAATTAACTGTGATTTTGAACGGGGAAAGTGGGTGGGTGGGTGGGTGGGTTGGGTGATTTTGTTTTGAGTTTTTTCGCTTGTGGGTCAGAGGTTGGACTTTTGGACTTGTTGGTGGTGGTGATGGTGGCTCATTCAAAGCTTTTGACCACAATAATGGCGATAAAACGCGTTGTCTCTGTCTTTGGATTATTCTAGGTTGACCAGACAGCCGTCGATCCTCGATTCTAACACCTTCCTCCACCACCGCCGGCGGGAATTTGTTTGACCGTTCTCCAATTTTCACCGAACCAATCAAGTCAAAAGTCCATAATTTTAATGCGAGATCACAAATTTGGTTCTTATTAAAAACAAAAGTGTATTATTGCTTATATATTCCATTACTTTTCCTTTTTTATAAAAAAGTTAATTGCACTAAAAGTCTCCTATGGAGTTTGTATCGTTTTAATTCTCAAAGTTTCAATTATATCACTTTGGTCTCTATAATATAAATATGTTTCTATATGATTCCTCATACAGACAATGTTCAGATTGTTAACGATTTTTTATCATAAAATTATCACATCATACTTAAGTATGGATAAAAAAATAATTTGGATAACTCTTGACCAAATTTTTATTTAAATTTTGGTTAAATACATACCTAAATTACACAATTTTTATCACAAGCTATCCAAATTTTGGTCAAAAGTTACTCATATTACACATTTTTTTATTAAACGTTACCCAAATTTTGT